CCACCAGTACACCAATTCACCAATCACCAATTTACAAAACATTTACAAAACACAGTCCTTGGAGACACACCAAATCACACAAGAAACAAAAACTCACGCTTAGCAACACATATTAAATTAACTAACTAATTAAATTATGTGTTTAGGGAGCAAGAACTATAAGAAAGTCAAGGGATTATAGTTTGGGAATTTTACTTTGTTATAAAATTAATAAATATAGTTGACATTTGAGCTATTAAATATGTTTTATAGTATAATGAAATGGTTTCTTTGAATTGTAAAGTAAAGATATGTTAACAAAAATCAAAATTTGAAAATAATTAAATTATAATTTTTTTTATATAATATAATCTATATATGCTGTTAAGTATATGTTGAAAATATTATTAATGTAACGAATTTCATGTCGTTTTAATATTGTAACAGTTTCTTTGGTACAATTTATATAAATTAAAGCCTGCAGAATTGTATAGCATACCTTTTTGTATGTTTTTAAATCAATACAGATTTTTCTGTATACTGTAATTCACATAATGTTCCTAATTTATATATTTTATTAACATCTTTAAGATTCTGTCTTATTGAATATTTTTAAACTTGTTCAGTTATCTTTTATAGTTCTTGCTTGCTGATAACATTTACAACACTCCACCCTTAACACATTCCACTAATAACTATATGAACACTTATTAACACCTGTCAATTCAGCCGAAGTCGGCCTCTGTCTGGGAATATATAAACATATTTCAAATAAAGCAAAAAAAAATAAAAACCGAGGAGGCTTCGAGCAAGTGGCACTACTAAATATTCCATCATTTCTCGCATTCATTCAAAACATTGAATAAAATCAGCCAACGACTAAACGTAACTTTGCCTCTCTCTGCTATTTCGTATTTGTATTTGCTATTCCTAATATAAAAAAAAACCAAAAAAAAACAATTCGTTGAAACATGCAGCCTAATATTTCGGATAATTCGAAGGTACCTGGGACCATAAGCAATTCTGTTTCCATCACACCGGCGCCACCACTGTCCCAACAGCATCAGAATCAGCTCAACGAGCTGAAGGTGAGTCCAATAATTACCCTAATTGTTTTCAATTAAAATAATTCAATATTTTATTACCATAGAACGATCGCTCTACGCCAAGAGAAGACGCCCAGACACCCGCTCAAAGACAGGCGGCAGCTAAGATGGCACTGCGAAAGCAGCTGGAAAAGACGCTGCTGCAGGTAAGTGTAGAAACACATGTAAATAATTTAATAAATAATAATTATTATTATATTTTTAAATCCCTGTTAAGATTCCCCCACCAAAGCCACCACCGCCAGAGATGCACTTCATACCCAATCCCAGCAACACGGACTTTGTATATCTTCTGGGCCTGGAGACTGTGGTCGATTATCTGACCGTCAACAAGAAGGCCAATGCCGTGGCTGCTCCCTTCCGCTGTGCCCAGTGCAAGATTGACTTTACACCTGTGTGGAAATGGGAAAAGCAGAGTAAGTAAGGGGAGACAAGCCTCCCTATCAATTTAGTCACCTAATGCCTTGATATTAAACAATAATTATAATGCTTTCCCTATCTTCCGTAGCCAACAAGGATCCCAAGGTGATCTGCGAGCAGTGCGTCACCTCCAATGTTAAGAAGGCCCTGAAGGCGGAGCACACCAATCGACTGAAACAGGCGTTTGTGAAGGCCCTCCAGCAGGAGCAGGAAATCGAGCAGCGCTTGGCCAGCCAGAGCAGTCCCTCGCCGGTGGACAATCATGGTTCGAGTGGCGGCAGCAACAACAACAACAACAGCAGCAGCAATTCGCTATCCGTGTCCGCTGTAAGCAGCTCCAATTCCTCGTCGTCGCATATGCAAAGGGAACGGGAACAATTGCAGGCGACGCATGCTTCGGCTGCTGCCGCATTGGTCAATCTGCCGCCGTCGGTGACGGTTATACCCACCAAATGCCAGACACCAACGCCAGCCACACCGCGTCCAACGCCTCCGCCACCGCAGAGTCAACCCACACCGCCGCCATCGTCGGGCACGTCGCGATCTTCGCGAGCGGCAGCAACCGCCGCCGCTGCTGCCATTGCTGCCCAGCAGGCGGGTATCCTTAGTCCCGGGCCAACGGCAGCGCATCATCACGAGGCGGCCTCATCGTCTCGTTCCTCCCGCAACGACCGCCACGATCATCACCACCAGTCGCAGCAGCAGCAGCAACGCGATCAGCGGGAACGGGATCAGCAGACGCAACAGCAGCAGCAGCAGCAGGCGCAGAGCTATGACAAGTACTCGGCAGCCACGCTGGCGGCGGCTGCTCATCTCAGTGCCCTCGGCGGCATGGGCGGCCTCAACCTCAACAGCCTGGCCAGTCTGGGCAATCTCGGCAATCTGGGTAACCTTAGCCAGCTGGGCAATCTGGCGGCCTTGGGCGGCCTGGGCAACTTTGGTGGTGGAGCCAGCTCGGCCTCGAACAATGCAGCGGCGGCGGCTGCCTCGGGATTGGGTAATTCCTCGCCAGCGGCCACGGCGGCAGCCATGCAGGCGTTCCAGCAGCAGCTATTTAGAGGTGAGTTTACTTAATTTGTGTATTTATGTTTATATATTTTAATAATTTTATTTATTAGCTTTGGGACAAGGTCTTGGTGCCAATCCCCAGCATATGATGCAGTTTGCTCCGCTTTTGTACTCTTATCAGGTCGCCATGGCGCAGGCGGCCCAAGTGGCTGGTGAGATATACCTTAATCATACATATTCCCAAGACATTTACTCATGTAACTCTCTCACTTTTATGCAGCCTTCAACAACAACAACAAGAAGAGTAGCTCCTCCTCGGGATCGTCCAAGAACTCGAGCAGCGCCAGCAGCATGGCGGACGTGCAGCGGGCGGCGGAGCTGCAACGCCAATATCTGCTGGAGATGATTCCTCCACAGCAGCAGAGCGGTGCCAGTGGCAGTCGCCAGAACAACTGGAAGGCCTAAAAGGTCAAACTAAACAATAAATAAACCCATAAACGTTAAACATAAGCAGCAGCAGCAGCAGCAACAACAAAACCACACAAATAACTAATTTTATGGTTTTCTTGATTAGTTAATTTTATAATTTAAAAGAAACAAAACCAACAACAATAACGAAAAAAACAAAAGAATAAACACAAAAGAGCAAGAAAGAAGGTGGAAAAAACATCAAATATACACGTAATTAATCTAATTATGCTATTTGTAAACAATAATTATACAATTAATTATACAAGAATGAAAGAAACAGTAATTGTTGGTAGTTTTTTCCTTTACGTTTCGATTATTTTGTCAGCAAACAAGACGCATATAAATAGCAGATGATAAATGAATGCCACGTTTTTACGCTCTCCTAGTAATTGAATATTAAATATGTCTTAATATATTGAGAAATCCCTAGTTAGTAAGCCAAGATTTGCCCCGTTTTTCTAGGGGCGTACAAAAGTAACAACAAATACCACATTTACACACAGCAAACATTTTGTAATTGTTAAAACACACACACATCTTTTGGGTTGATGATCCTCTCCGTTCAGCCACCAAAATTTTGTCGTACAATTCTATTTAGTTTTTATAATAGCATCGTGACTAAAAACCTATATAATTATAAATATATAAATAATAATACTATATTTTTTAGGGTATATAAAATAAATTGCAGAAAACAAATTACACAAATTCTTGCATACATATTGCCAGCCTACACAACAGTTTATATAGCCTAATTGTCATTCTGGCATATGATCTTACATTCTACATTCAAATTGTGAAAGCATGTCAGTGAATTGGCTATATATCTACACATAATCATTATCTCTATGATCATTATTCCGACATTTTACATTAAATCCTCCATATGCCTTATCCATGTTACAGCTCCGATACGAAGTTAGTACTGTTATTTAGTTGAGATCGCATATAATACCATGATCACGTCTCCTGTTTTTGATTTCCAAACAAAAAACAAAAAGCAAACATACATCGAAAACTCCAAATAGTAACTTGTACATACTTTATATATGACATTTGAAGGTAATAACATGTTCGGTAAACCGATACTAACATATACTCTTCCCATTAGAGAGCAGACGCAGACAGATCTTCAGGTTTTCGATCGATCCTCCACTGAAAGCCCCGAGCTCTTCCCGAGCAAAGTGGCCAACATGAATATATAATATTTGACTGAATATTAGCATATATACCAGAGGTAGTGGACAGAGGAGCAGAGGCTTGCATAAATCCCTAAACATACGACTAAAGCATATACATATATATATATATATTTTTGATTTATCGGACGGACAGAGCGAAGGAGTTGTAGGTTTACACATTCAGGCGAATCATTCGGAAACAAAACCAAATTCACTTTGGGCATGCGAAATCAAAATGTGATCAAAATATGAAATTACAAAACAAGCAAAATAAACTTAAAATAAAAAATAAAAATAAAAGAGGGAGAACAATTAAGTGGAAACAAGCAGGCGAGAAATTCATAATTATTTAAGCTAAATAAACAAAAAGAAATAAAAGAAAAGAATTAAATAAAATGCATTGTAATTCAGTCGGCATCAGTTTCAGTGTGTGTATGTGTGTTTGAAATTCTATGCTAAATGTAAAACAGTATAAGAATAAACAGTTTTTAAACCAAAAACAAAAAACTGCATTAATTTAAATTGTATTCTGGGGGAAGTTGTATTATTTTGATTTTTTTAAGGAGCTTCCAAAAAAAGATGTGGCGACATCTGAATCTGCAGATAGTATTATTTTTATTGTCATATTATACCCTTGCTGGGTATTTTAATTTTAATTTTTTTATTTTCACCTTATTTGAGATAAAGCCATTTTGTATTATTTTATAATTTTGGTTTAATTAAATTAATTTTTATTAAAATCGGATGACTATATCATATAGCTGCCATAGGAACTACCTTTAGCTTTCTCTGTGTAGCTGTAGAGTTATCTTTCTCTCAATTTCTCTGCGCCTACCTCTAGAAATAACTCTCTCTCTAACTCTCTGCATTTCTCTTTTCTCCCCCGCTCTCACTTTCTCTATTCTCATAACTCTGAGAGTATAAATAGAGGCTTTGCTTTCGCGCGGCCATCAGTCTGTCCGCGGCCTCCCGGTGTTTACATCTATAGTGATAGTGGCAGTGATAGTGCATACCCTTCGACCCCAAACATATTACCTGACCAATGGAATAGATATAGACAACCAGGAAGAATTATTTTCTTAATTTTTCCCTTATTGTCATGGACCCTATTACTTAATTTTAATTTAAAGTGTATTAAGTATATCTACAAACACTAAAAATTAATAGCCTTAACTTAAGGGTATTACAATTTCAGTCAGAAGCTTGTAACGCAGTGAAGGAATCGTTTCCAACCCTATAAATCATATATATTCTTGATCAGCACAAACATCCGAATCGATCTAGCCATATCCGGGAAAAAATTAAACTTTGAAATTTTTTTTAAAATTTTATAAGGGGTAACATTGTTAAAATTGTTAAAATTTGACAAAAAATGTACATTTTTTAATTTTAAAACCTAGTATGCAGAGTTGTTAACACTGTTAAAACTAGCATGAATTATGGCTTAGTTTATGATATTTGAAAAGTATTAATTTACACAAAAAATATTGATTAATACCAAGAATACACAAATGTACATTAAAAGTCATATACATCCTAAAATTCAATTACAAACTGCAATTTCGGCTTCAGAAAGTTGTTTTCCTTTCTTGTTATTATTGGGCGAGAGCCGATCGTTTGCACTACAAATTTGCCAACTGCTGGGTTTCATGCACCAGGCGAACAGAAGCCAGCAGCAGGTGAATATTGTGCATTTCGTCCTACCGCATAAAAGTATGCTAGATACTCTTGGCAATATATAGTACACCCAAGAAGTATGCAAATGAATTTAAAATCCTGTCTTTCGGTGGGACCAGTTGCCATTTTCGTTTGTGTTCATTTTCCAAATAATCCAACTGGTCACACTGAGCCTGGGGTGTAGGAAAGATAAATAAATAAAGTAAAATATTTGTGAGCAATGGACAAGGAAAGATCGATTGTGCCTAATCAAATTGGCTACCTGGTACTGAAGGACGACGGCGCTGTTCTGGAATCAGCGGGGAGCTGAAGAATGACGAACGCAGCGCTAATGTGATAATGGGCCTGCTCAATCTCACCGGAGAGGTGGGCTAAGTCTGATAAATAAGTCATTCTTTTGTTTTAACCCAACTACGTTTTAATTCCAGCATCGACGAGTCCTTCATGGCGAATAGCAGCTGCGAACGGATCACCATCGATTACGAGGAGTACTACTACAGCATCTGCATGTCCAACCGTCGAATATACATTGTGAAAATCAGTGGATCCCAGAACGGTAGCAATACAACTGCGACGACCAGCTCCTCCTCATCGAACAGCGGTGTATAACGATGCCTCAGACACTGGGGCGGTGCTGGCTTGAAACCCAAACTCGGATGTTCGACCGCCCACTTGCCGATTCTGCTGGCAGCGGGGTGGTAATGGGCCACCCAGGGCCCATAATTGGCGCACCCCCATCCTGTATTTGATCCTCCTCTTTATTTGTCAAAGAATACATCATCTGTGAGCTCCTGCTCGAAAATCCGCCTTGCTTCCTGGGTCACGTCTAGCAGGGTGAACTTGCTGTTGCACAGGATCACATAGTACTGCCGGAAGTTGCAGCGCCTCTTGACATCCAGTAATCGTTGGTAGTCTTCACCTGCAGCTCCTCGGCAGGCGCACTGTCCAGGTTGTCCGCTTTACCGCTGGAATTGGCCAGGTCCGCAATGATGCTTAGTACGTTGCGAGGTATCCCCTGGGGCAGGTGACGCTGCATGTTCGTATGATGCTGCAGGCTCTGTTCGTTAATAAACAAGTACTTAGCTGCCGTTTCGCCGCTGCTGCTGCCGTTTGTGTTATCTTTGACCGCCGGTCGAGCCCACCGCCTCCTTGTTCAGCTCGGTGGCTATATCGCGGGCCAGCGAGGTCAATTGGCCCCTCAAATATGCGTTAAGTTCATCGTAGAGCTCCTGTTTGGGGGCAGGTTGGTCAGCTTGGAAGGGCATAAAAGAAAGTTCTTGAAAGTAATTAAACAATGGATTCAACCCACCGTCCAAGAACAAACAAAGCGTAATGTGGAGGACACGATAGATGAGCAGGTAATACGTCTTCGTTTGCTTCTCCACGTTGACATAGACTTTCAGGGGATGCTCCAGCGCCGTCTCCTCATCTCCCTTCATCTAGTTGCCGCACAAATCCTGGCACCTGGCTCTCACTGATGCCTTCCGCTTGAGCGAGGGGCTCACAGCCAAGGTAGAGCTGCTTTCTTCTCTTTTCAGGACGTTTTGCACTATATATGAGTGCAGGCTATAGAGATCCTCCGGCTGCAGCTTTCCCCCGCAAAGGATCTGTTCCTGGTAGAGCATAACTGTCTGCTTGATGACCGGAAAGGTTTCGGCAAGCATTCCAAAATTCTGGGCTCGCAGAAAGAGGGATTTGTCCAGCGGCATATATTGTATGGAATGGAGCATGTCAATGATATCACAGTGGGCCAGATCCTTCAGATCCCGGATGAGATACTTCTGGTAGAAACAGCGCAGCTCCTGCGACAGAAGTTCCCTTCGCTTCTCGGCATCCGATTCCTCGATTGCGTGTGCTGCGAAGGTACCGTGCTGCAGGCGAAACATTCGATAGCACTGCCTTAGGATCGCTCTATAGATCCTGTCTGAGATCTCCGCTCCCCGTAGTCGTTCACCTCCACGCCTTCCTTCAGGCGCACCTCCTTGGGCACATTGAGCACCATTACCATCCAATATCCTGGCTCGGGCTGGTAAAACAGTTGAGTGGTTTTCTGGGTGTGCAAAGCCTGGCAATCGTCTTCCGAACTGAAAGTCCTGGAAGAAAGCACAATCTTTAGTATTGCTCCCAAGAGAGTCCAAAGTCCATTAAATACCCTGTAAACCGTATGATAGCCTCACTAAGTCCCACATCCTT